GGGAAGAATTAATGTTTTCCTTTGCAAAAAGTTAAGTTCTGTTGCTCAGTGGGCTTTGAATGGCTGCAACTTTCATTTTAATTAAGAATGAACCCAACCTTCTTGTTCCATATCTCACCTTGTTCAATTCAATTTTAATAAAAGGATATAACGGAGGGAAATAAAAACATTAAGAAAAGCTTTTTCAACCTCACCAACATTGGTCAGGGGAGGATATTGTACAGTTAGTCCTCAACTTTGGACCACCATTGAAACTTCCTTTGCTAAGTGAGAAGTTTGTTAAATGTTTTTTGCCCCATGTTATGACCTTTCTTGCCACAGTTGTTAAGTGAATCACTGCATTTAGCACTTAGACATATATACTGCTTCACAGTGCTTTACAGCCCTCTAAGTGGTTAACAGAATCAGCATATTGCCCTCAAAAATCTGGATCCTCACTTTACCGACCTCGGAAGGATGGGAGGCTGAGTCAACCTTGAGCCTGGTGAGATTCGATCTGCCAAACTGCTGGCAGCCGGTGATCAGCAGAAGTAGCCTGCAGTACTGCACTCTAACCACTACGCCACCGCAGCCTTATAAGCCACAGATGTCTATGGATGCTGCGGGTTTTCACATGTCTCCAGTTGGATTCTAAGAATCCAACTAAGGGTTCTGCGAAAAAATATCAAAAAATCAAATTTAAAACAGATTTTAAAATAAAACCATGCAGGGCCAACTATCTTGTACCAAAATAAAGGTTATACTTAAAATGTTTTCTCTTCCTTTTCAAACCTATTACATTATGCAAAGCGCTCAGGCAATAGGAGTAGATGAAATAAGTTATGGGTTCTTAATAATAAGGCTTAATAAAAACCAGGGATAGAGTTAGGGGGAGAAATGTCTTCTAAAGGGTCTCCTAACCAAAAAAAAACGTTTGGGAACTACTGGTCCAGGCCTTCACGGAATGGATCAGCTTGGAGAAGGTTGGCAAACTGGCCATGAAGGAAAATGGCCGCTGTTCCAGAATACAAAGCTCCTTGTTTTCTTTTGTTAAATTGCCCCACACATTGCTTCTGGAATTAGAGTCAGGACTGGTTCAACAACAGATGAATATGAGTTCAGGCTACTCGTGGCCTCAAATATTAGCATAGGATCTGTTAATATTGACAGGAGGTGTGGGCTGCAACTTAAATATGTGCACAGTCTCGTCACTGCTGCTATTTTGAGGAAGAGGATTCACTCCAGGTGACTAGTTATTTTAAGCTGGGTGTGAAAAGCTTCACTCTGGAGACGGCAAGTCTGTAAATTCCGATAAGCCGACTGCCATTTTGAAACGGATGTTTCTTCAAAGGAACTGAAATATGATCCTTTATGGGTAAAATTAGAGAACAAATCAATATGGCTCCACCATCAAAAACCCAAAGCCTGTCTGTCCTTTTCCTGTTTCTCTTCCATCATTGCTGTGCAATAGGGAGCTGGAAACGTGAGATCCCTATTCACCAATGCTGTTCAGAATAAAGGTGTGGTCAACATAAGCATTATTTTCCATAAGCATCAGTTACACAACAGGCTATTTTTCTCTGACATTGAGTTGTCATGGATCAGAGGTGGGGAACGATGGCTCTTTTATGACTTGTGGACTTCCGCTCCCAGAATTCCTGAGCCAGCATGGAGTAGAAGTTCACAAATCATAAAAGGAACATCGTTCTCGACCCCTGTCATAGACTCTTCTTAAATATGGTGGTCATTTGAACCTCTACCTTCTGATCCTTCGTCCAATGGCGCACAAAAACTCATGCCATAATTATGAATATTTTAATGCTTCTGGGAGTTGAAGTTTACAAGTCATAAAAGAGCCATCGTTCCCCACCTCTGATCCATGACAACTCAATGTCAGAGAAAAATAGCCTGTTGTGTAACTGATGCTTATGGAAAATAATGCTTATGTTGACCACACCTTTATTCTGAACAGCATTGGTGAATAGGGATCTCAC